AGTAACCCCCAAAGTTAGCTCAAAATAGACTGATCCGTTCATAAAAACGCCCCGAGCAATAAAACCACCACATTTTATTCCCGTATATGATGAGAGTTAAGTTGGTCCACTATCCGTTTGTCACTGAGTTGTACTAACTTCATAACCATATCGGAGTGCGATGTGATTAAGCTTGTTGCGACCACGAGAGCTGTATATGTATATGTACATATTTTTATATGTATAAAATTGTATATACGAATGACATGCTACTGTGGATTGTTTACGAAGGTCCATTCCTTGTAAATGTTAGGGTTTCGAACTTAATGTCAATAAACTCAAACAAAACCGCACACAATTAAGACCATTTGGCTGAGGCTGCGCCACTCAGCCCAGACTATTTCGTTCTTTATATTTCAGGAAACCAGAAAAGCTGTCCTCGGAACTCAAGATATAATAGAGATGGACCCCAGCTATGGATATTTCAAACCGAAAGCAAAATATAATGATGTTGTGTTTGGATGGTACGATGACCCAACGGCTATGGCGGTTGTTCGAGGAAAAGCCAAAATGGTCGTCGTCATGGGTCACACTTTCATCAGGGAAATAAACGATTCCAAATTATACATGGGATTTCGACCCAGTTGCAGAAATTGGCTCAGTGGTGGATCATCGAAAGCAAGATATATGAGAATCAATTCAACCTATGACCCCGGTGATGTACTCCTGATAACACGAGACGATCAGTTCGATGTCGAAAAAGTGTACCAGCTGCTCAAGTCCGGAACCAATTCTGTTCTCGCTGGCTATCCAGGAAGGGACACAAATGATAGTTTGACCCAACTGCTGGAAAAAATGGACATCGAATTCGTGAAAACTAGTTTGAAGTCCTCTTCCAGGTTCATCGTTGTGGAGGATTCACTTACAAGTCACAAATACATACCCATAAGCTATGATATTGCGCGTTATGTGGATAGCTGGAAAGCCTTCAGTACCGAATCTTACAGTGTCGAAGTAAGTTACCTTGGCGTGCAGGACGAGGACACAGATAAAGAGCTGAAGAGACTTGTGGATAAATACGGTCCGCTAATGGAGCGCATCGGTCCATGCCCTAGGAAACCCTACAATAAAAACAAGGGGACCGAATTGGCTGTGAGAAACTACAATACACTGTTGAAATACCAGTATGGTGGTACCAACTTTGCGCTTCCAAGCATTAACCATCACCCCGGGTTGATTCCCAGCACTGTAAAATCGACGACAGTTGTGGCGACGGTTTATGCGGATCAGGCCGGGAATTTCTTCCCTCTTGGTGTATACGCCAACGCCGGTGGGGCGTTTCGATGGACAGTGGTGAAAAGTAATCGCGACAACTACGAAGATCAGCGACTACGGATAAATGCACACGTTGACTCGATAGTTAAACATGATAGCTGGTCGAGATGGCCATATATTGCAACAGATTTCCCCCTGAAAAAACAGGGTCAATACGTTTCTCCTCACGGGGGAGCATTGTTTTTGCAGTTGCCTCGGGGGGTCAATATTACGATTCGGCTAGAAGGTGTTTATCGTTATCCTTGGTTGGATCTTCGGAATCCAAAATCTATTGAGTCGTTCCCACAGGAACTCAAAGATTACGCTCAACCACCCTTCCTAGTCGTCCACGGTGATTCTATGATCACGATGCTGAAGACATTTGATGTCTATGAAAGTGGAGCGAGCGAGGTTACATCTTCTGCTCGCCACTTTGACAACGCAATCAAGGTGATGCATAACTACAGAGGGACGAAATGGGAGGACGTGAGGTCTGAAGTGTTTGTGGCGGACGTTCAAATTTCCGTCGGATATGGACATTCTGGTTACCCCATCATGGGCAGCATTGATTGGAGTTACTTGTTCACCCTATGGAGCTCTTCAATAAAACATGGTGGTCAACCAGGTTTTGTGCATGAGATCGGCCACAATTTGCAGGTTGGAGAAGCTACGCTGTTAAATGGAAATGAAGTAACGAACAATGTCTATCGTCTGATAGTGGATGAGATCAACTTGGGGCTAAATCCGTACACAGGTGATATGGGTACAGGACAATGGTCGGCAAGCACATACCAGGGACCGAGTTGGGGGTACTACAGGTACTTGGGCAAACTTTTCGGTCACGGTCTGGTTGGAAACGGATTCATTGAGGCTAGAAAGATACGCCCACCTAACGAATCGGCAAAAACACAGTTCTGGGTAAAGCAAATGTGCGTCGAGACTGGTTATAATATGCTACCATTCCATGATATGTGGCACTTCCCCGTTTCCGGTGACACCAAATCGACCTGTACCAAATTACCCTGCTTTTTCCCTAAAGATCAATATACCGAGTCATTCGAGAGCAAAATTACTGAGGTAATCAATAAATATGGAGGGAACTGTTCTCGGAGCAATCCGAATCAAGTGAAATTTCGTGGAGACATAAGACGTGGTATTGGTGTTGTTCGATCTCAAAACATTTTCTTGACCTTCGAATAGACTATTGCTGTGTCTGTGGTTTTGGTTACAATATAAACAGCTGCATACTTCAGTCTTTATCTTGTCTTACTCTTGTCTAATCTGTCAGCCACAAGGGGAGAACGTGGACAAGTGTGAGCAACATGTCGATTCCCAATTAGGAAGAGCAAATACGGCAGTTATACGAATGGCTATCCGCACCTCCACATTCATATTTCCAACTAGATGTGGTCCATTGCCGAGTTGCACAATTCGATGGCTTGTGTGAGTGAAGAATTGTGACCGGGGATTTCGGTTGCATTTCTGGTGGAGTTTGATATTTGCTTGCAATCTCGGATAGCACCTAGGAATGACTCGATTAGACCACACCTGGTCGCTTGCGAGTTGATTATTTATGAGTTTTCTGATCTTGTTGATCAAATCAGTCAGGTGTAATGTCACTTCAACACAATTTCATTGGCCTGAAAATAAAAGGTATAAATAGCGCCAATACAGTGAGTGGGATCTCAGGTCCGGGAACTCAAACGGTGCGTGGCCAACGCCCACTGATGGGCCGGATTCAAAGTGTGCACCAACCTTCTAGTTTGGATTTTGAATTTCGCATTTGCCGTAAGACCCGGACAGCTAAGGATCATACAGTACGATTGGAGTTGTCGAAATACAGGCAGTTCGTATTCAGTGGGCAATGAGAACAGATGGATGAGGACAGAAGATGCTGTATTGAGAACAAGATCCATGAACGAATGGGTTAATAAATATCTGGAATTAGACAGAACAGTGAAATCGGCAGGAGCAGACGAAGGGACAGTGCGGATGCAGGGTGTTCAGGAAGGAACAGCGAGTAAGTACCAAATGACACACAAACGTCAGTCAGGCAGTGTAAACAGAGAAAATGGAGTAGAAGATAATCATTTCGTTCGGACGTTAGGGAAAGCTTCTGGAAAACGAGTATCGGGTGAATTTGGCACAAATTATTATACCCGCAGCCTATAGCTGACGGCGTGACGCAGCATCACGTGCCACACTTCGAATCGGGATGCGCCCTTAGGCCGGTTTAGAACAAACTCTCAACAAACACTACTCGGTAATATGCAACACAAAGGCAATAAAAAATAGAGCTACCGCGGTTGTAGTGGTACAGCTATCGGAAGTAAAAAGCTGGCTGGCAGGCCCAGCTATCTCGTGTTTCTGATTTCAATCCGGAAGCAGGCGATATGAGAAGCGCACTGGGAAGTGTTGGACTACCACGTCTCACGTCTAATTCAGCCAAGTTCTTGTCCCAACCCGAATGGAAACGGATTTATTGAAGCTAGGAAAATGGAACAAGAACTAGCCAAGTTCAGCGAATATCTGTTGAAAAGGATCGAAATCTGCTGCGATATTTCCACAACAGGCAACATTTTTCTTCATAATGGAGCACTATACTCGGTGAATCTAGTATGTATTCGGTGATACAAATGCGATCCGAAACGCTGAGGTGCTCAGCAAGTGCAGAATCCGTCGCAACTGTGTGAAGATCGGTACAATTCGATTAAGAACTGTTTTTTTGACCCAAGAACATACATTTGCGAGTTTTCTGGCGTTAGTTTCGGTAGATTCCACCGCCCATGGAATTTTGTGATCAACAATAGCTTCACGGTTAGGTGGAGATAGGGAATATATGCGGGTATCCATCAACTGAGAAGACGCTTACATCACCAGTTGGTTGACCGCCAACCAGACTCATGTTATATTGGCTGTGATTGGAAGACTATCTACGTCTCCTGAGGAACGTGCAGTTATATGATACTTTACCCAACCCTACCAGATCGCTAACATTTAAGCCCAGTGAAGAATGTGGACTAAGGTTTCGTCTCCACAGCAGAAGTGTTTTTGTTCACTGCTTTTCGAGGTGGCTTCATGCCGCGTTGCACGATTTCGTATTCCTCAAGACTAATCCGACACAAAACGCGTAACTGAGCATCTGACGGATAATGAAAGTGTTATATCTGCTGATTCGCCAATCTGTTGTATCTGACTACTGACCCGCTCCAGTTTTTAATGCCGGAAAAAAGACTCACAGAAGGAAACACAACAGCTATATTCCGAACGAGTGAGTGCGAGAGCGTGAATGCGTACGAGTGCGAAAGTACAACGGTCTCGAACTAGTTATTGGAGGGACACTGTCTAACTTGGTCCAACGCTCACGCACGCGGTCTGGCCTTGGTACGAGGCTGCGACGCGCTGCATATTGCGAGGGCTTTGTCTGACCTTGATCAGCGCTGACTCGCGCTGTCTGTGTTTGATACAAGGCTGTGAAGCGCTGCATATTGAGGGGGCGTTGCCTGTCTGGCCAGCATCTAGCGGTGCTGAGGTCCTCAATAAATTTCGGGCGTTGAATGGGTAGATTCAGGAATCTGATAGAAAGTAAGAACATATTGCCCCCAAACGACAAATGTATGTTCAAGCAAAGTCTTCAAGATAAAATCACAACAGTCATCCACCAGAACGACTTAAAAACTATTTTGCTCGGGAGACTTTTCACCAACCCCATCCGGCCTGCACTGCTCATCAGAGACTTCCCATGGACCGCCATTGTTGTGCGCATGAAGGTAGACCGTCTGTTCGGACGGAAATTCCACCGAATCCCATTTACGCACTTTGCTCAGCTCCTTAGATTTTGGTCTGCTGGAAGGTCTGTGCCCTGGTGCAGCAATCGTTGGGCCACACGAAAACGGATCCATTTTGTGCCTCGAGTTGTCGAAGGCTTGCAGTATTTGATCATACCTGAACGTCGACTTCTTATAGAGGGCAACACAAACATATGCGTCTGTGAGTGGGAAAGGTGATTCATCCGTAAATGTTCAGTGTTTTGTGAACGTTGGCAATGTGAAACAACTTAGAGTAGAGCTCCAACGAAAGCTTGTGCATGTTGGACAAAGTCGGTTGTCCCGTTTGATCCTACCGCGCGACCAACTTCACACGGTCTGCCAAAACTGCACACGGACCGTCAGCTACATAATACAAGTCCTCGACTAAACATCGACCACTGCAGTCGTTGTCCTCCCTAAGTCTTAGCTCATGGTTCACCACCGATGACCAATTGAGTGAGGTAATCTAGGTTCATCATCTCATTTCAACAGCCAGGCTGTCCATGTTACTCAACTCATCCTTCTGGAAAAACTAGGGATTAAAGTCTTTCCAGTCGGTTGTATTGAGTGCTATCGTGTTGTTCGACGCAGTCAGACGGAGAACTTTATGTGGGTTGAATGATGCAAAATCGCACAGTAAACCAGTTTGGGACACTGGATGGATGTGCGTCTCTCCCAATGACCTGATGTTGATTGTTGTTGGTTGTTGACCTGTCTGTCATGCTTGGAAGTTAGTTTAAGAACGTTTCGTCACCAGTGTTCAGTGGACGACTGCTCGCTGGTGATGTCCAAATGAATGATGATCCAACATTTGCAAACTAATTGGCAAGCAAAGGGAGCAAACGTTCTGTCACTTGATCAACAAGCTGTAGGTGCGCACAAGCTACCAACATTTTAGCACATCCACAAAGCCTACCGCATTCAAACGAGTTGTACTCCGCTGAGTTTTGAAAAGTGTTCTGTCCAAACAGTGTTTCTTATTTCGAAAATAGGTCAAAGCAAGATATCGCTAACAAGCCCTGCAATACACGTTTGGTAACAGATATTCCGAGGGGAGGCTCCGTTTTATAACAAAGTCAACAGGTAAACCAATTGGTATATTGATGATGTTGTTATAGGTAGCTAGCTAACTCTACCCCACATTTAATGATATGTTCTTATTAATGCTGAGTATTTTGAGAATTCCATACTGTCATCATCTATATCCACTCAAACATACCTATCACATGTGAATCCGAGACTGAATCTAGTTTAGACTTCTCAGACATATCTGTAAATGTACCCACCGCTGGTTCGCGAAAACCATCAGTTTTTCGAAAGTCAACGTGGACTGACCATTGTTCACATCAGTCTAACTTTCCACAGACATCTCACAAACACAGTCTGTTTAAGATTCTATTCTACAAAGCAAGAAAAACTTTTAACCTAGAAATGTCGAAAGGAGAGGAAGAGCTCTTAAGGTGTACTCTGTTAGTTCTTGGCTATCCAGAGAACTTGGTCAAGATTCATGATTCACTTCCGTCAAACCTCAGAAGCCTACAGTTCTTGCAGTAGGGAGCAAGCTGCTCTCCATGCGTTCTTGCAGGTCAAAGGTGATCATTTACAGAGTGACACTAGGGGAGCAGATAAAATCAACCCGAAATAAAGCTGCAAGACCGTGCTTGCACAGCATGCATGTCCATTCCACAGGCTAAAATCAAAGCGAAATCACCACAATGTTTACTCGCCATAGAAGACAACATTCAGCAACAATAATTTTCGGGAAAAATATCAAATTCAACCTCTGGAACAGAGAGCGAACAACGCTTCCATTCTGTGACCCGTATTCATAACTAATAAATCACAAAATTATGTGGTACTGCTCAGAAATCACGTGCATCTGTTACGGTAAATTCACGGGTCCACTTTCTTTAAGAGACACTATGCAGGTCATGAATTCAAATGCGTGACGTTATTGTCAGACAAGTTCACGGTAAATGAAATGTTCGAAGTCAAGTCGGGTTCAGAGGTCATACACGTTACATTTTGACGCAGAGTCGTGGGTTGTGCAGCGGGATTTAACTATCAACGATTATTTATAGACTGATACTTCAAACCGGCTGCATGGAGGTCTGTGATGACAACCGAATGGTCGCCATCAATTAAACTGCCTAACTTCGGACCTTTAAAAATCACACTCAACCCATTCAATCACTTGACCGACCTCAAAGAATCTGACCGGTTTATGGCAGCGAGTCCGTCATGTCCTGCAAATTGCTCGGGTTAATAGCACCCCAAAGTCAAGTGTTATAATCTCACCCGTCTAGACTTCCTAGGAATCAATATGCTCAGTGGTCAAAGCAGGAATTTACTGACAGGAAGGTCCGTGGTTCGAACCCGATCTCTGCCTTTTTGCTCGGGAGACTTTTCACCAACCCCATCCGGCCTGCACTGCTCATCAGAGACTTCCCATGGACCGCCATTGTTGTGCGCATGAAGGTAGACCGTCTGTTCGGACGGAAATTCCACCGAATCCC